TTTGACATTTTGAATAAAAACAACAGATTCTCTACATCAAAATATTTATTGAATAGAGAGCTATCTATTCATGTACCTTGATTTATAACATGCTTAATTTGAAAAATTCCTCTTTTTAAAAAAAATCCACGACGGGAAATGCAGAGGTTTATTATCAATTACAATGTTACTATTATTCCAAAGCACAATTAGTTGCGTCTTAGAGGTCCTGGCCCTCTCATGTATTCCGTATTTATGATCTGTAATTTTGTAATGATGCCAACTACACTGAATTGAATTTACTTGAATCTCAATTCATCTTTATCAGACCTTATTCATAAACACACTGCAGTACCTAATATTCGATCACCATCCGAACAACTTCTGGCTGTAAAATCTTTAAACATCATCTCTCGCTCTATGGAACTCTCAATCATTACCAGCCATTTCCATAAGGGCGTTCATTGTACTTAAAGGGAAAGTCCACCCTGAAATTAAGTTAGTTTTAATAGGAGTAGAAAAATGAGAGAAACAAGTCAGTGAAAGTTTGAGCAAATTCCGATTAAAAATAAGGAAGTTAGGATTTTTGAAGTTGTGATCAATCAAACACAAATTGGCAACTCTATGACGTATCATGCGAGCTCAACTTCCATTTGCTCAGTACTAAAAAAATCTAAAATTTTCATTTTCCCTCAAGAAAAATTTCAACCATACATGCACCCTAAATATAATAATTGCAAATATGTTTCTATACTCCCCCTGCAAGGAACAAATATATATTCCGTCATCAATAACGAAGAAAACATGATTTTATGGAATATCATGCACAAAGCAAATGAAGGAGAGCTCGTATGATAAGTCACAGAGTTGCCAATTTGTATTTGATTGATCACAACTTCAATAATTCATAACTTTCTTATTTTCATTCAGAATTTGCTCAAACTTTCGCTCACCTGATTTTCTTATTATTCTGCCTCTATCGAAACAAACTTATTTTGGGGGTGGACTTTCCCTTTAAGAATACGATTTCTCGCTCCGAACAGACGATACGTTATATCAACCAGTTATATAATGTAAAGCGAATCGAGAATCAATTTTGTATTATTATGCGCTACTCAAATTTTAAGTTAATATTCTATTCGTCTGACGCGCGTGTGCGGTTATGCTGGTAGGCAGTCGACCTATAGCCTCGAGTCAAGGGCACTCGTTATTAATGTTGCCTTGAAATCAAATTAATCATTAATTAAAAAATAACATGTATGCTTCTACCACCGCCTCAACAATTGAATAATAGATTAATTAATATGTAATAAATAAATTAGTAAATGAATAAATGAATAATAATGATAATAATAATAATGGGTTCTTGTATAGCGCTCATGTCTGTCAGATTTGACCCTCCTGGCGCTCCCGATTATTACCCTGGCTTAAGCACGGCTGCCATACGGCGCTCTAGCATTTCAAGGAATAAATTCCTACCAGGTACCCATAAATAAGGAGATAAATCAATTTTTAAAAAATACACATTCTGACTATTGTAATACAATTATTCGTAACATGAATGAATTTTTAACGAGGCACCTAACAAAGATTTGTGCATTAAATAATGTTATTACATCGCTATTACATTGGTATGCCGAGCGATCCTTAAAGGAGACCTTTACCCCAAGAAATAATGTTAGTTATTCTGAGAGATTTATTTTATACTTTCCCATTAACATATACAAGATTCCCTACGAAAGTGTATGAGAGAGGCATACAATAAGAAGAATGTACAGTTTCTCAGCACGACATGGGCATCGCCATTTTCTTGATAACGTGACGTACTAAGCGAAGTCCTTCATCAAGTTAAATATATTCGAATTTATGGATGCTTCCTTCCCAGGTGTGTATGGTGATGAATTATTTCATTCACGTGCTATTATCCTTTCTTACTACAATTGCCAGAACGCAAATTGCAGAAAATAAGATGTTACTCTTTTTGGGTGAAGGTTTCGCATAAATAAAATAGATTTGTCAACTGCTATATTTTGGTATTCTAAATATTAAATGAGTTACAATTATTGTTCCCTTGTTATATATTTTTCACTTTCACCAAAGGCAATCTTCAACCTTCTCAGCTATGATTTTTCCTCAAAAGTAAAGGTTTTGTTAGTGATTTAATAGTCTTTTCAACTAAAGCTTATTGTATGACACATGTTCAACTTCGCCTGCATGGTACGTCACATTTTCAAGAAAATTGCTGCTCCCATGCCATGCTAAAAGGCATTACATCATGCCAAGAATTTCTTCATTATATATCTCTTGTGCACAATTGCATAAGGGATATTTGACATCAAAGAACAAGAATACATCTCATTTTTAAGAATACCTACCTTATTCTTTGGGGTGAGGTGTCCTTTATAACCAGCGTTATATCGTTAACCGCAGGAGTGCGTTTTGCAAGAAATTTTGATTAAATTTTACACTCACAATTCACAATTTATTCCAATTCTGTAAGCATAAGGCAGATTTCATAAACTGGTTGTTGATAATTATGTCTGGTCCTTGGCCAAGCATTATGTCGAGGTCAACAGTAACCACAACTGTATATGCTTACCGGCATATGTAAAAGTTCACAGATATCCCATTCAAACGTGTGTTTACGTGATACACGCGTTTCAATAAGATAATAATAATATTCAGTTCTTGTATAGCGCATAATACGTTATGAAATAACATCTCTATGCGCTTCCAAAGTGCTTTTGGAAATGATTATCCTAGCTTTAGGTGGTCAGCGCATTTCAAGGAATAATCCTACCAGGTACCCATTTATCACACCTGGGTTGAGTGTGGCAAAGGTAGATTATAATGTCTTGCCAAAGGACATTATAGTGCCGCGGCGAGACTCGAACCGCGGACCTCGTGATCCACAGTCTGATGAGATATCCTCTCGACCACGATACCTCTACATAATTATGTCGGTATACTTGTATTTATGGCAGCCTCGTTTAAAACGCTGCCCAGAGCCCTTATGGAATAAACTTGTAAAATGATCAGTGCGTATAGACCTAAATGCTTGCCAGAGGATTGTCCGACGTAATAACATCGAATGAACAGGTGTATGCAAAGTGAGTGTTATCCAAATAGACGCCACTGTGGAAAGCAGATGAAATGAAATAGTTAGTTGGTAACTATACAGTGTGAGTCGAAAAAAAGTTTACACCTAGAAAATTGCTAATTATTTAAAAAAATCATCGGTGAACATTAAAATTTTATATGTCTTATGAAAGAGTGTTTTATCCCAAATCATTGGGTACCATTCTTGTGTGGTATGTGTTCACGCTTGGATGAACAGGAGACATTGTTTGCGAGAGTGCAAAAATCGACTTGCGCCAAAGTTGCCTATGTGATGTTTGAATCAAACAAATGGGGTTTGGGTATTAATTCGGTCTTTGCAGATCCAAATAACATCCCTAACAAAATTAATCATGCCACACAAACAAATATCGAATATCAAATATCTACGAACATTTTGTGCGCGTGTGTGTGGGTGTGTGTGACTTTGTCCTTTGCAAAATACATATGCAATGCATTTCATTTGATACATTATTATTCCGTTCTCTCACTCCGCTTATCCCAACATAATACGTAATGTAGGCATCACTTTGGCGCAAGTCGAGTTTTGCACTTTCGCAAACGATGCCATCTGTTCATCCAAGCGTGGGCACATACCACACAAAAATGGTACCAAATGATTTGGGATAAAACACTCTTTCGCAAACAATGCCATCTGTTCATACAAGCGTGGACACATACCACACAAAAATGGTACCAAATGATTTGGGATAAAACACTCTTTCATAAAATGTATAATATTTTACTGTTCACAGATGATTTTAAAAATAATTAGCAATTTTCTAGGTGTAAACTTTTTTTGACTCACACGGTATAGGGGTTCTGAAGAGCAACGTGAATGACTTGAAACCACTAGTGTACATGTTGTGTGATGTATGTGTGATGCATTTCCATTTTATGTAATGATTACTAACACAAAGTTAACTTTGACATTCACGAAGCTTGCCTTCTACTTGACATTAATCTACATTTGCCACTCTCCACCCAGGTGTTAAATGGGTACCGGTAGGAAGGAATTCCTTGAATGCTGTGAGCAACGAAATCGGTAGCCTAGCAGAGCAGGGGTAATATTGGAGCACCTTGAGGACCTTGCAGGGCGGATAATTTTGTGCGCTATATGAATATCCAATATTATGATTATTATCATTACTTTCCTGACATAGCATCAAACAAAGTACAGTGTGAATTCCGACCACAAAGATGCTTTCATAAAAAAGGTCAATTTGATTTGTAGTTTGAAAGGATTGAGGTAGATGAAGCAAGTGACGCTTGACTTTGAAATCATTTGTAAACTGTGTATATATACCATTTAAAGGGCAATCCAGCCCTTGTGATAAATTCTTTTGAATACAAGCAGAAAAGTGAGAAGAAAAAACCAGAATGGCGCGCATGTTTGAAATAATTCAATCAGATCAATAATGTGGAATAGTGTGTGGAATCATCAATACGATAAGAAATTTGAAAGTCGTGGTAAAAGTAACAAGCCTTGTACACTAAGACGAAATGGTTCAAGGAATGGTAGTATAGCTGTTTCACCATGATATGTTTAGATTTTATTCCAATATAACCCTCGGTGAAAAACTATTTTATTCACCCGTTATGTATTTTACAAGACCATAAGCAGAAAAGATAACCCAGCTTGTGTGCTTGTTGCTATCCTAGCGCAAGCCCCCTGGCAGCTAGTTAACAGTAACGTTTGATTAAGAACCATATTATTGGAATAAATGTCTAAAAGAAAACCCCAGAAAGATCTTCTCTACAATTACAGCTTTTTCTCTGTGTTTGGAGCAGCCGGTTAAAGATGAATTATAAAAACAAACAACAAATCATGAAATGCGTGAAATGTTAAATACGTAGGCCTAAGGCATTATAGTTATATCATTATCATTTCAATAATTACTCACCTGTCTGAACGGTAAAACTATTCCTGGGATATCAAATTACATGTGAACATCTTGAGAAAGTTGGTATGTGTATGGTTCTGTCAATTGTTGTCCGAGTACGCCTACTTGTTATATTAGCCGCAATACAAAAAAAAAATCACTGCATTTTGTTCTTCTCACTCACAGCGCGCTTGCACAAAAGTCGTCCTCACGTATACCGTACACAAGTCTATTATGTGTGTGCTAACAAAATACGATAATATTATGCGGGTTCTATAAAAGTTGAATATGCGTTCTGGATGGCTGAGTACTATTGTGATTATAATTGTGATATTTTAGAGACTCGGACTAATAGTCTTTTGGTGAGCAACAGTCAGCTAGAGCGCGACCCTCAGTGGCGGATCCAGGGGGGGGGGGGGGGAGGGGGCCGGGGAACCCGGGCCCCCCCCTTGAAAAAAAAAATCATGTAAAATCACGTGATTTTTACCTTTTTGGGGGGTTGGCCCCCCCCCCCCCTTGGCGCTCAAGGGGGGGGGGGGCTGCAAATTGAAATTTTTTTGAGGATCAAAAAAAAAAAAATGTGCTCACTACCCCCCCCCCCCCCCCCCCCCCCCCCCCCCCCCCCCCCCCCCCACTGAGCGAATTTTTGGCCGGCGCGTTTTTTCAAATTTTCGGGAGCAAAAAAAAAAAAAAAAAAAAAAAAATTGTGCTCTGTACCCCCCCCCCCCCCCCTAAGCGATTTTTTTTTTGGCCGGCGCGTTTTTCAAATTTTCGGGAGCAAAAAAAAAAAAAAAGTTGGGCCCCCTCCCCTAAGAAATCCTGGATCCGCGCCTTGCGACCCTTGCCTATAATATTGCTCTACAAAACAGATCTACCACAAATTTTAGAAACATGTAAGAGAAAGAGATGAAACAGTTCTCGCTCGTACTATATTTTAAACAGAAATTTACTTTTGAGCTATAAAATATACTCTTCAAAATAAAGGGTAAACGTTAAATTTTCTAATCTTTAGCAGGTGTCTCATTTAATAATTGTTGTGACAGTTGCACTTGAAATTACTTTATCACCCAAGTCATTTGTTTCTTGTACTATTGATGCATGACATGAACACACATATATTTGTAATAGCAGTTCCTCAGGCAAGGTGCCTAGTATAGCGCCATCTATTGATATTCACTTGATATTAAACACTCAGGGGCCCGTCCCTAGAAACCGTCATAAGTCTAACTGCTTGACTATCCCATTGAAACGTGTGTTATATAGAATTAACATGCGTTTCAATGGGATAGTCAAGAAGTTAGACTTATGACGGTTTCTAGGAACGGGCCCCAGAAGGCTACATGGACATGATTATGTTGAGGTACAAGAACCCCCTTTTTGCCAGACAGTTGAGAAAAAACAAGTGATTTTTACATTTTTGGGGGGTTGGCCCCCCCCCCTCCCTGGCGCTCAAGGGGGGGGGGGGTGCAAATTTTTAAATTTTCGAGGATTAAAAAAAAATGTGCTTACTGCCCCCTCCCCCCCCCCCCCCCCCCCCACTGAGCGACTTTTCGGGAGGCAAACAAAAAAAAGTTGGCCCCCCCCTAAGAAATCCTGGATCCGCGCCTGTTGCCAGAGCATCAAGGAGATTTCAGTCATAAGATTGTCATTATGTCAGGCAAAGAGTTTTCACGGAATGAATTGGAACGAAATGATTACTCCAATTAAAGCTATGAATTCCCGTAGAAGCCTTTGTTCAGACTTTTGATTTCTTATCGACCTCGCTGCAGCCACAATGAAATATTGCTTCAGACCATGATTTACGTCAATAAACAGTGACCTGCCAGTGTCACAAATAAGGTATAAAAATATGCTTATCTGACCGTAATTAAATGCCTAAAAACCCTGAGCTTCAAGGGGCTCCATCCCCTGGACTACACCAATTTATTTATTTATAAGAGCACATTCTTTTTTGGTCACCTACTAGCACAATTTCTTTTTTTTCTTTTTTTTTAATTAACACAAATTTTAGGGGGGTCGACCCCCCCCCCCTGCGTACGCGCCTAATCATTACTATATTATCATTATAATTCTTCTTCTTCTTCTTCTTCTTCTTCTTCTTCTTCTTCTTCTTCTTCTTCTTCTTCTTCTTCTTCTTCTCTTTCTCCTTCCCCTTCTCCTTCTCCTTCTTATTATTATTATCATCTTTGACTTTGATCTTTGAGCGCCAATAGACCGGTTTATATTCAAATTGATGATATTTCTTTCCTGGTGACGAACAATTAATTTACATGTTATTAATGAATATAACTACAATCCAGTCTGCATACATCACGTGCTGCTGTGTCGGGCAAGCCTCGGGCAAGTTTTCAGGTTGTCAAGAACAACCTGTGTTTAAAAAGTATGCACACATTTTGTATAAGTTTGTAAGCCGGTCTATTACATTGCCAGATTCGTTGACAAGATTTCATATAGGTTTTTCTTTAATTTTGCGCCCCAATAAATTTAGGAAAAAGAAATTCCGGATGGAACGATCCCCCCAAAAAAATGTGGGTGAGAGTAGTGGGTGTCCCACTTTCCATAATGAAGTAGTTGTAGTTTAGCGTAATGTTAAATGATTATTCGTTTTTTTGATTTTCACATCGATATTAGTGAAAAAGCATTAGTTACTGGATATCACATTCATAACGAAAATATGTTTTCTCTGAACAATATTTTATTGTTTGCTTAATATACAATATTTATAAGGCGTATGTTTGAAGTAATTTGTCATTCAAACGATTCAATTCAGTTGTTATGTTTTTAGAAGTCAAAAGGGATACCATACATTATTTGAAAAACCTCATAGAGAGAAAACAACTGAAAATGTCTGAGGAAAAGTTTACAAGATTACAAAATTCTGAACAAAATTGAAGCCAGCCAAGCTGCTTTCATGAGAGGTGGACCAAAAACACCAGATGATAGCTATACCGTAGATGGCGCTATGTATATTCAATCTGTGTAGCATATCGAAGTATATTCTATCTTGCAAAAAAAAAGAAAAATTAAATATAGAAAATAAATTCCATTTAAAATACCCCTTTCCCCTTTGTCATATTTTTTCCTTCTTTTCCTTGTTCGTCTATTCGCCCTCAATTAATCTCTTTTTACCTGTCCTTCTTTGTCTCTTAGTTTACTTACTTCTTTTTCGTATCAAGCATATATTATCTGAGTTTCGTTTTGCCCAGGGGCGTCCTAAAATGACTGTCCTTTAAAGAGCCGGCTTTCTTTCATTCTCTCTCTCCTTTCATTTTCCCTCCCCCTCTCTCTCTCCCTTCCTCTCTCCTCCTTTCCCCTCTCTCTCTCTCTCCTTTCATTTTCCCTCCCTTTCTCTTTCTCTCTCCCTCCCTCTCTCCTCCTTTCCTCTCTTCCTCTCTCTCTCTCTCTGTCTCTCCTTTCATTTTCCCTCCCTCTCTCTCTTTCTCTCTCCCTCCCTCTCTCCTCCTTTCCTCTCTCTCCCTCTCTCTCTCTCTCCTTTCATTTTCCCTCCCTTTCTCTTTCTCTCTCCTTTCATTTTCCCTCCCTTTCTCTTTCTCTCTCCCTCCCTCTCTCCTCCTTTCCTCTCTCTCTCTCTCTCCCTCTCCTTTCATTTTCCCACCCTCTCTCTCTTTCTCTCTCCCTCCCTCTCTCCTCCTTTCCTCTCTCTCCCTCTCTCTCTCCTTTCATTTTCCCTCCCTCTCTCTTTCATTCTCCCTCTCTCCATCCTCCTTTCCTCTCTCTCTCTCTCCTTTCATTTTCCCTCCCTCTCTCCCTCCCTCTCTCCTCCTTTCCCCTGTCAGAGGAACAGAATGGCGACAGTTTGAAATAAATCGGACCAAGAATTAGAAAGATATGAATGTTTGAAATATAAGACCACTACAGCTATGGGAATCTCTCAATTGCCAATTGGATAACTCTCCCATTTGTCCTGTACGAAAATATCATTAATTTCTCTTTTTCTGCTTTTAAGTGCCTTCTCCCTTGTGGCAATACTCAATATTTTAAGGATATCATACTCTTATACAGGTCCTCTAAAAAGAAATGACCATCCTCGAGTCTTACATTTTGGACAAATTGAAATTGTTGTATTTTTGTGTGTTGGAACTAATAAGAAAATTGTCCGCCACTACATCTCACAGACATTACCATTTCAGCCAATTTAAAGAGCCCATACCAATACTGATTGCAACTTTAAAAAAATTCATAATTCTCTCACTTTTGGTCTGATTTCAATCAACCTTTCATCGGTATGCTTCTCTGATTTATCAGCTTTCCTCGAGAGTAGTTTGCTATCAAGGTTGAATTTTCCTTTAAACATCACCTAGGGGTGTTTCACAAAGATCTTATCTCTAAGTTGGACTTTACACTTATGGAAAGCCGTTAGCAACTTTGAAAATATTTTGAACAAGGTATTCTAAATGGTATAAAATGTTGATTCAAATCACTCATATTTTGTTTATTATCAAGGAGATTTCATGTTCTTGATGTGGAATTTATGAAAAGTCTAAAATATTTGAATTTTTGCTTTTGAATATATTTTAGTTTCAGGCTACAAATGGCTCTCCATGATTTTTAAGTCTCAACTTAGAGTTAAGTTCGACTTCGGATCTTTGTGAAACACCCCCTGGACTTTGCGTTGGCTTTAGCCTAATTGGTATACTACAGGATAGGCCATTATCGACTCACCCTTCATAAGATACGAGTGGAAATAAAACAAGACACAAACCCAAGATGATTTCATGTTGAGAACTATTTTAATATGACAAAGCCAGAGTGGCCTTTCTCCTCTTACATAGAAACACATTATGAAATAAAACTTAAAATAGTTACAAAAAAAGATAAATAATGAAGAGAGAGAGAAGAGCAAACGAAGATCCTTTTTCTTCTTTCCTGAAACTAATAAAAAGAGAATACATTGTGTTTCTACTAGTTAAACTCCTCTACAGGAACATATATAATTTTGTATTTAGTAACAAGCACTGTACAACACAGTCATAAACATGGAGAGAGTTAACAAGGTAAATAGATACAGAATTATTTCATAAATACAATCGTGAAACTGTGCTCCATAACATAGTAATTCACAAGAACAAGGAACAGTTCGTATTCACAAAAAATTTCAACCCCATTCTTCTGATTTTACATTCTGTTTTTTTATACAAAGAATTTGTGCAATGAAAGTTTTACACGTGAAAGGAACTTGGAAGAAATGATACAGGATGAACAAAATGGCGGTTTGTGTGTCTCTTTCACAATGTTAGATAAATAATGAGCTGCTACCTTCAGTTTGGTATACACTCATTACTCTAAGTGCCATATGCAGTAAGCTATGTTTGTCAGAAGCATCCATAATGACTATGATAGCCATTGGTTTGATAATTATCCAACACACACTTCAAACTGATTGGAAGTTTAAAACATTCTAGTTGGTTGATGAGTTCTTGGAAACATTTCATATCAAATTTGTCCATGGGAACAAAAAAAAACACTAATGCAGTGATAAATAGTTCTTCAGTATAAACTCAACCAATTTTTTCATTTTCCACCACTTTTCATAACAGGGGCAACCAAAACAAAGCCACGCCCTTGCAGACTCACAGGAGGGGAATCCCCATTTCTCCATTTTAGGGGAATTCCCTTCCTAGTCAACAACAAAGACAGTGTATATACCATCAAACTCACATGGTGTAAGTGCTCTCTCTTTTTTAAAATTAGATATCGGGGACATCTCAGTGACGCTAAAAAAGTTTTTAATAACTTTAAGGAATGTCAAAATGTAGATTCAGGGTTTTTAACAACTAATTATAAAGATGGAAAGTGGTGGAGAAAACAAAATAAAAGTTGAATTTCAAACTCTAGTGAATTACTGAAATGTTTCTTCATGATCAATGCTCCCATGCACACTCAATCAACCAGTAGTTTTGAATTTCCATCGAGCAAGATGTTGGGTATCTTCACAAGTAGCGTATTCTCTTGCGAAAGAGTGTCGATCAAGACAGGCGAACAGTACCACTACTCGTCATCCTGTCCTTCAAACATCATATCGATCTTCAAAATGATTGGAAACAATTGAACTAAAAAAGCAAGACAAACGAGGGGGGTAGACAGACAGCGGAGGAAAGAAAAAAAAACACAAGTGCATAGATTTACCAAGAAGTTGTGTAAATTCCAACATGGGAATAGTCAACTCACATACAAAAAAAAAAAGTGTTTATTCTTCGAACTCCCACTTGCCACATTATAAAGCACCAATATTAGCCTACAAAATATCTACTCTGTACAGCTGTCCTCATACCATGGACTACATATAGTGATAATTAGAATTTGGATAATAATATTCATATAATTGAACTCTCTGCAATGAAAGTCTATGCAAAATATCCTATTTTTTAATCAATTAGATCGCACTCCAAATGATTGAATGATTATAACCACTTTCCAAAGCCCTTCCCCCGTTTACAATAAAATACGGCGGAAGGGACAAAAAAAGTGAACAAAAAAATATACTAGCACCCCAAGCTTAACTGACTTGAGCGATTGTTTCAAACTGCTACGTGATTAAATCTCACAGAATAGCCCCGATGGCATTTTTGTTTGAATAAGGCAAACTTGTCAGGGCTACTCTCTTTTCTTAATTGCTGTAATATATGAGTTGAAAACTGGACTGCAATCTTATGTTATATAATGAAACGATTGGAAAACACAATGTTCGAACATGCCCCCTGCGTAATTTTCTTCCCGATATCCAAGGCTCTTGGTTGAATCAAATCATGCCTTCTATTAATGTGTACTTCCTTCTTTGTTTTTTAAATATATTTACAAAAACTTTTTTTTTTTAGATAGGCACTGCACTCCACACCTGATACAATGGCTTAAGCAAGAGAAATTAAAAAATGCTCTACAGTGGCTGAATACGAGACTAGTACAAGAAGACAATATTCTTTCTTTTTTAAAATCCAGGGATGGCTAGGTGCATGCCATATTACGAGAAAAAAAAAAAAAAAAAAAAAGATTGGAAGATACCATACACCTATTTGAGGTGTATGAGCGGGTGGTATGAGCGGGTGGTTGAAACGTAGCCCCAGAGTCTTAAGGCTACTCCTATAGTAATAATTTGAACAGTCCAAGAGAAGGAGAAAGCAACAAACACACGCACACACACGCACGCACCCACACTCACATTCATACAAACATTGACACACTAAGAATACAAGATTGCCAAGAAACTTAGGAAGGAAAAAAAAATCATTGAATTATCATTTACAGCTCCCTCTATTCCCTTTCTTTAAAATCCAATCATTTACAAAAATCTAAAAAATTCCCTAATTAATTGAGTATATAATATTAAACATCATGTTTTGTTAACTCCTTCTTCCCAAAATCTGCTAAAGCATCAAAACAAAGCTTTGCAAAGGTGAGCAATTCATAGAGAGGAACTTTTTTTACTTGGGGGCATGATATCAACAACAAAAAAAGACATAATCTGAGACATAATATGTGAAATTGTCTTATTAATTTTCCCCCTTAATTTGATGACAATTATTTCATTGTTATCATTTATGAATTTTGACTTAACCTTATTCGAACATTACAGGTTTATTAAAGCTATTTTCATTATCATTGCATTCAATTGATTAAAGCACTGCACCCCCTAAATGTGGATGAAGGCACCACACAAAAACATGACTCTATGGACATCAGATCAGAAAGCATTGTTATGTTTTTTTTAGAGGACAGCAATAAAAGATCTATTTCCACTAGTGCTTAAACTGATCTGCAAATCAGACATCGAGTGCTACAACGAGAGAATAAAATAGTATCACCTAAAACTCTTGCTACTTTAAACCTCTATTGAGCAAACATACAAAAGATTTCAGACCACGGCAGGAGAATATTAAATCTGACTTTAAAAAAAATCCTAAACAATATATTTAATACTCTAAGGCTTGAGTTATCAGAGTGGTTAATTTGAGAGAGAGAAAAAAAGAGAACTGAATCTGAGATCGAATTGGGTCTCTTTGATAAAAAATGGAGTCGCCATGGTTTATCTAAGTGAACCTGGAGCTATCACGCTCCTTTTTTTTAATAGAGAGAGAAAACCCGTGTTCTAGCCAGGGTCAAGAAAGTGTGACCACTATACAATTAAAAGACATTGCGAGATTTCAATGTCTTGCAAACTTGGGACATTGAAAAGTGAAAGGTTTTTGTCTGAAGCAAGAAAGAAGAAAATGCGTGATGATGCATTTTTAAAGCAAGCAATTAACCAATAGAGCATTGAATTCCTACAAAAGCTATGCCTTAACATGTGCAGATTGAATGTCAAGTAATGTGTAGTCGTACCTGAGGACTGCTTTAATTCTAAAAATAAGATGAAAAAAGAAAAAGGGGCGACTATGAGAGGGAAAATAAAACATGCTTGCTAGTGACTAGAGTCGAGAAGACACATAATAGCACCGCACAAATACTCATGCATTGTAACTGACTCTAATGATAATCGTAATAATAGAAAAAAAATAACAATATTACAAAGCAGTAACAATGCCTTTATAGATACATGTTTGATAGAGCACTAAAGTGCTTTGTAGTTTGATTCTATGCACATGTGTTGGGTTCTACAAAAAGAAAAAAAAATGGAGACATGATGAAGGACTACATGATAAATTCTGTCGAGTTCCCGTCTCTCTTAAGCTACATCACGCATCTCTCGCTACTCTCACACGCTCTCTTTCTTTCTTTCGCTCTCTCACGACAACGCAAAAGCACCACTGAGACAGGTGTCATATTATCTAGATACAGTGAGAAAGAAAAAAATTGATGTGAAGTGAACTACGACAAGTATCACTTCTATTCTAAGTGTAACTTAGCTGGTTTCCAACGTGAGATTGGAACTACGCGCAGTGAGAGATACAGCAATCCAATAAATAGATCGTACTGGAAAACAGTTGATAATACACAAGCTTCGTAATTATTGCACACAAAATCTACATTCCTTACCGTTGCTTTTTAAATGCTTACAATCCTACTATTATAATCAATAATCACCTTTTTTTTCTTCAATAACCTCAGATGAATTTTCTCTGAGATAAAATAATGAATTTATCAAAATTCATCTGATATGCTAGTAGTGTTTCTGACCTACCACATCAAAATATAATTATTAAATGAAGAGAAACCAAATGAAAACAGCATCCAGAAGAAAAAGACGAGAATAAATTCATCCTGATCACAAAAGGAATATTAAACTCCGGTAATCGTTTAACTACAATCACGTAATTGATAATAATAAATGGTTGCTATTCGTGTCTAGATACTACAAGTTTGGTTAAAGTACTCCTCTTATTAAACACTCCAAAGAGATCGTTATCATCTATTGTACAGAAATCTCCACCAATCATCACAATTACAAACAAAGATCATATACCAGTCTCTATTCGGTTAACTTCAGTGAAAAGACTCAGCAAAAGCCCCCAAATCATCATAACACGTAAAATAAGAGAGTGAATCGCAGCGATAAACATGCCGATCGACCCCCTGGAAGACATTACTAATTGATTATAACTGTTTGATCGAGAAAAATCATTTGCTAGCTTATCAAGCAAGCCTATATTGTAACAAACATCCCCAAACATATTAGAGGAAAAAACTCCTAAGAGTTGAATGATTATTTCGAGACATAGAATTCAAAGAGAAATTACAAATTGTGATGAGTATTCATTCATACATATATAATCAAAATGAATACCTGTAATCGAAAAATGACATAATGACTAAAACATAAGATGATGATGAAAAAAAAATTGTCCATAGCTCTTGGCCCAAAGTCTATCATGGTTCTAGTTCTTTTGTCTCAGCTACGCACTTTTTTGCCTACAGAGGGCTCCCTAAAGGCTTCATTACCATCTTACGAGAAACGCCAATTCTATAAACAGAGGTTCTTATTTTACGCTGATAAAGGGTGTTCCTCTATACCATAAACTTTGGCCATTTTGTGTTCTTTCCACTTGAAACGTGCTAACATCACCACATCCCAACTACAGAGGGCAGCATTGTCCTCATCGGGTATGAGAGATATCTCCGAATCTAGCATTGGGGTAGATTCGTTGAAGGCATTCGGCAGACTCTGTTTTGTAGGACTCTTTTTTTAAATAGTTTTCTTCTTTTTTTTCTAAGCTATTTATAAACACACATCCGAGGGTGCCCACTCTGTTCCCCCGGCACACCTTCCTCCATCGCGCCCCTTCCTGATTGGTCAAATCTCGGTCAGCTGATTCGCTGTCGTATCCATCACGCATCCTCCTTGCACTCAGCGCACGATTGGGCATTCCTGCTTAGCCTGACCTTATGACCTCCAGTAGCACCCATCGCCACGGTAACACATCCCACAACGAACAGGTTATCTTCAACAAAGTTCTCCAAGAGCTCAGCATTCTGATGCTCGGAGGAACGTTTGATTCCTGTCAAGACTATGCTACCACATTCAGCTACAAAAGCAAAGCGCTAAAGGACAAGCGTACAAAAAGGGGAGGGGACATATCCATCATTAACAACAGTATAAAAGAAAGACTGAGCGATCTTTCGAAGTAAATCATGCAAATGAAGAAGGAGGAGGAAACTGAGATGGTATGAAAACCAAGAAAGGAAGACGAGATGGATTTGTGAAGGGGGAGGGGAGGGGGGTTTAACAAAGCCAGCCCTAAGCAGCAGGAATGTCGCGCGTGAGCGCCCAGAATCGAGGACACGTGATGGAAACCTCACGATGGTCGTTCTGGCTGGCGAGACAAAAACTACGGGTGGTGATCGACGATGACGGTGACGATGACGAAACTGATGGCGACAAGGGAGCCGATGAGACGGTTTGGAGGCGATAGTGGTGGTGGAGGAGTCGTGCCCGGGGAGAGGGATCAGTAGGCCTCATTTGGATAACTTGCTGATAACCCGGACTAAGGCACCATTCTCGTCCTTCAGTCGCTGATTGTCAGACTTTAGTTGCTCCATGGCCTGGTGGAAACAAACACAGAGAGATGGGGGTCAGTACTACAATAAGTTGAAATGTGTATTAAAAGCAGTTCCATGAAAAACTAGAAGATAGGTCTTATTAGCAAACATCTTTTAATTTAATGTTAAAGGTAAAGACCAGTATTGGCAACGCCCCAATTTCAAAAAATGAAATGGAAGCTCTCATTACCAATCATGTGAAAGAATATGTTTTGACTAATACATGATGATAAAAAATTTGCCGGGAAACCGCCTACTAATTCATATATTTGGTAAATTTATTTCTCTCATGGTCTGGTGAGAGAGATAGGGTAGTCCCATATACATCTTTCTGTGTATAGTGCTTGTAACTTTACGAAGAATGAGCCAAATTTCTTATCATTTTGATGATTCCAGAACCTTGCAGATGCTAGATGCTAGATGATCGACCTTTTCTGATCGATTCCACAACGTTTCTTTCACAATGCAATCGCATGACCATTACTGGTCTTTACCTTTAATAGACCAGTTCACGGTTAGCACATTACTGCAATGACCCCGAATATCCACAGATCTTCAAAACATGAAGAGGTCCCACTTTGCACATTTTGCAATAATCAATCCTACAGCAATGGAGGTGCTATATAAATAGCCTTTGTTTCCCCTTTTCAAAGAATATTTCCACCTGTACATCATGGAGTGCACTGCTTGTGCAAGAATGAATAATGATTACATAACGTTCATGAGCACGTATCCAGTATTTCGTCTCCGTGTATTTCAAAATTTGTCCCACTTAAACAATTTAGATTATGATGTAATAGTGATGACATTGACATCTACATTGAGTTAAAACTTGCACTTCATTTTGATTTGCTACTGAAGGGCTGAAGGTTGTTCTTGCCACCCACGAACAACAAGTTCCTCTGTTTCTTCTTCAAATCTTCACCATGATGAGGGCACTTTTAAAACACAAACATTATTTCAACGTAATTGCACAATAGAGATTAAATTTCACTCACCTTGAGTTCTTCTTCGAGCTCTGAAATTCTTCGCTCTAATCCTCGTCTCTCCTGAAAGACAAATATGAAGAATGTACGGTAAATGAATGAATTCCCGATTATAAACTCAGTTCAAATCAACCCAAATCAACATAATTCAAATTCCCCTGAAACTTCTCCCAGGGAGCCTAACATTCAAAGAAGTCAAACAATTTACACCTTTACATCTAAGGAATGCATGGCAACTAATCAATCTTTTCTTTAAAACTAAAGAACTGCCCAAAAGGTATAAAATAATAATAATAGGCATTTCTATGGCGCCGTCTATCTAGAAATTCTATTCCAAGGCGCACTAATTATAACCCCGGCTTTAGCCTAGTTGCCATCACAGCGCTCCAGCATTTCAAGGAATTAATTCCTGCCAGGTACCATTTACCTCACCTGGGTCAAGTTCGGCAAATGAAGATTACTGCATTGCCAAAGGACATTAGTGCCGTATTGGGGACCGAACCACGACCTTTGAACTTCAAGTCAAGTGCTTAAACCACTCGACTACAAAACTTCTACAACTTGACTTTTCAGCTTAAAACTTGCCATTCCCTTCCAGAATTCTACCTACTCACTTGAAACTGAGTATTAAGACAAGATTGGGGAGGGGAGGGGGGGGGGGGGGGGGGGTGGTGGGGTTCTTCACTGGCAATTTCAAACATTAACATGATGTTTTTCAAAGAGCTATTTACTCCTCTGACAGACACTAAAATAACTGATATCTTTATTATCTACGTCATCTATTTCATTTTTCACTTCCGACATGGTCTTCAAAGATGGTTAAGGGCATCATGTGTGAAAGTGGCTTTGATACGATTCCCCACTTACCCTTTTATCCGAGTCGCCCGCCCTCGAGTCTGACCTGCGATCTGATTGGCTCTTGAGTTCAGCAATCTCTTGATCTTTGTGTTTCACATCGCTCTGAAGTTTGCTTATAAGAGAGTCTTTATCATCAAATAACTGAAAGAGAAAGTGAGAAAATGACGAAAATTAGCTTTTGTGATGTTTTTTGGAGCCGCAAGGGCATCAATACAGATAAGATAATCCTATTCCTTCAAATAATTGTAGATGTAGAAAATTATCTCGGAAAGTCCAAGGCATATTGTTGTTTTGTGTCCACTATGCTACTGAGTATTATTGAGTAATGTATCATTTTTTGTGTTATATTCCATCTTATCCAAGTTCTAATAGGGTACTTAATTTGAAATAAAAAGATGATTGTTACTACAAAATCAAAGAATAACAAAGTCATACTAGAGCTCTTGTCTTGCACTCATCAGAATAAATCACAAGAATGAACAGAAAGCCTAAGCAGACATTACAAGTTGAAGCTAAGGGAACAAGAATGCTAAAAGATAATGGGCTTTGATTGGCTGCTGGAAAGTAGACGCAAAGCCAGCCATTCAACGAAAATGCTTTGAAATATTCATCAGACCTACTAGTAGATGAGGATGACACAGAATAGGTTACAAATCATGCCATCTGATGACATTTCATTACCTTAAAGCCCCACTGCACTAATTATAGCTACTTGCGCCCTCTATATAGCAAACAATGTCTAATCGGTGACAGTTGGTCCCCCATAGTCCCCTTTATCTTATGTTAATTGAGAGCTGATTTGATGAGCTAACCACCTGTCAGTGTCCATGCAGGGAGGTCTAATCCCTCCTGGCCAAAGTAGCGCAGATGGGCTTTAATCCATACTTGTAATTATCTTTCTTACCTTTTTGCAAGATGAACAAGCTTGTCCTGAATTAGACCGCGTTGAGGTTTGATTTCTATCTGAGCCCCCTCTCGATCTATCCAGGACTGATGATGAGTCCCCATACCTGGTAGAGAAAATATTTCAGTTTAGTACAATGCAGTTCAATTTCAATAGTTCAGTGTAGTTCAATTCAGTTCAATTTAACAATTCAGTGTTGTTCAATTGAGTTCAATTTTAATAGTTCAGTGTACGGTAGTTCAATTCACTAGTTCAATTTAATTCAGTGTAGTTTTATTCAATTCAGTTCAATTCAGTTCAGTGTAATTTAGTTCAGTTTGGTTCAGATTAGCTCATTTTAGTGCAATATCATTCATATCAGTACATTCTGATTACTTTGATTCAGTTCATTTCAACACACAAGTATTGTTCTATTCAATACGGTTTAATAGAGTTTGTTTCTGATTAGTTTGGTTCATGTCAATTCAAATGAAATCAGTGTATTTCGGTTCAGTTCATATCTATGAAATTAAGTTCAATTCATATATTTTACTGCTGTTAATGTCATATCGATATACATGTTTTTTTATTACTGTGAACTTCAAAGATACACTTAATATGAAGCCCTGTATACAATAACCCTTAACACTAAAAGCATGTTGTTAGATATAATCATTTTCTCCATTGTGTCATCAGACACTCATATGTTGTATAATATACGCAGACACTCATCTCATATACAACAGCCATTAGCATCACCATAACAATGAAAAAAACACTTAAAAATCCTCTCACTATATTTCTTTAAACTATCAAAAAGACTGCTCATGGTAGTACCAACATAAGAAAATGGTTGCTACCATCATCACTACCTACATCCTCTTGAAATATCACCATGACAACCCATCCACTTACCTGCTTCCTACTGAGCTAGTTGATGACGGCCTTGAGGAGCGATCGGTTGTCTGTAAATCCAGAAGATAGAAGAAAATATAACTGTTAAACATTATCAATAGTGATTTAATAAATCAAATCAATATTGATTTATAACATCACAAACAATTTTATGCTACTGAATGAATCACAATTCCTAAAAATGCTGATCAAATTCTTTATGAAATTATGCATTAATTATACAGCAAATAGTAGTGGTCCCAAGATCAAACCTTGAAGGACACTGTCATAAATATGCATTTGACAGTGAAAATGAATTAACAACTGCAATTGGGTATTGACAGTTGGTAAAGTTTTTTTTTCAGATCATCATCTTCCCCTATTCCAATACAACAATAGCACAGGGTTATTTCTTTTCAGAAACAACAAAATAGTATGCGACTATAAAATGTTGTGAAAAATTACATTTTGATACTTACACGGATAGAGTGAAGATAAAAATACAAATATCTACTCTTTATTCATTGCAAAGGGCTGCTCATTATGTGTTATAACAAAGACATATATAACATACAACAAAAGTACACTGACACAGGACAAGCATTCCTCACACACACAAGACAGTACTGCTTCACAACACAGTATAACGTTTATAACATTTATCATACTCATTTGTAACATTTTATATAATGACAAATAACATACATAAACATGAACAATTGTTTTGTTTTAATGCAGACGTTAATCTAGTTTACAGACTATACAACAATACACCTTATTAGTTATAAATATACACATGATTTCATGACATGTTTAGTAGCTGAATTTGTGTACACCAAGGCGCGATATAAACATGTCAAAGACAAAGAAATATAAATTTGACAGACAGCCAGCTTAGATAGGTCAACAAGTACTTAATCATAGTTATCTTTATGCAGCAAGTTATGGGGATATCATTATGATAATGACAGGGTCTTGCTCATTCAATGCATTCATATGATTTATTATATTCAAGCAATCAGAGGACTTACCAACCCCTCAAGACTTGAATTCATATGATTCATTTGAAAAAAAATAATCAGGGGACTTACCATCCCCTGCAAGAAAATAAAATTTAGCCCCTGGTGCTGAACAGTTGCAGGACACATGCTCCACTGTAATTTCCTACACTAACCAAAGTCCTAACTGCAACCCTAAACCAAACACCATACCTAACCCTAAGTTGGGGCTAAACCTAACCGAAAACTAAATTGAAAATTTAATTTTAAGTAATTCCTAACCCTATAACTGCCAATCGTTCAAGGCAAAAATTAGGATTCTCTCAAGACATAAGTAGTAATACAATGCCTTTTGTATGCTTTTTAACAGAGGTTTTCAGAAAAATAGAAAATTAAGGTTTTCTAAAAATGACTCTGAAGGCCAAAATTGGGAATAATTCCTCCAAAATAGGAACAGTTTGTAAACCAATATTCCTTTTTCGAACACAGCTCAGTGCGATTGTCAGTGGAGCATATGTCGCAATGCCGAGCTGGAGACATGTATCATCCAGTGAGAGCTAGAAGAACATTACGAGGGGTCAGTGACGTACATTGTAACTCCATTTTGAGAAAAATGTGTCACTGAGCACTTGGGCCTCTATGTTTCACTAGCGATTGACTTCAATGGGGGGTTGGGTGAAGTTAAGTCTTCGCGTTTCCTGGAAAGCCCACATTTTTCAGAACATTTTGATATCAAATACTCGTTTTGGCAAAATATGGAGTTACGTCTTTGTGTCACTGAACCCTCGATATGTTATACCTTTGGGTTTACTGCCCTTCTGGCTTTCATGTGACTATTTTTCATTACAAGTACACCATTAGACTTGACACCCACTGCCAATCGTGCAGCAGCCATGTTAAGATATTTGACATTAATAGAGCTCAAGAAAGAAAAAAAGGCATTGGGAAATATTATATTCCAGAGCACGAAGGGAAAAGCAATAAAGGAAATAGGGAAGGTTGCTTGCATCAATAACACATTTCTCAATTACAATGTAACTTGAATGTCATCTGCTGAGTCTGAGAGCTGTAAGGACATTAAGGAATAGACTGTTACATAGAGTTAACGTCCCTGTGGCTCTAAGCATACATTGCAATCAAGACCCTAGACAGTGTAAACATCTTCCACGTCCTTGACATAGTTTTTTCTATTGTCTTGGTTGTCTCTCTTCATTTCTCACTATTTGTTCAGGCAAAGGAATGTATCTATTCAACTGTTGATAAACACTTCTCTTCTGTATATATCATGCACTTCATTTAATGTTCTCTTTTTGGTAATGTGAATAAATCTTTTCTACTTGACTACTTCCTACAAATACATAACAGACATTTCCGTACTCTACAGTTATTTTAAAAAAAAAAAAGAGAGAAAAAGTGAATCTAAAGATCTCACTCATGACTGATTGACATTTCCCTACTTAACATAAATAACAATAGTAATAGTAATGATAATTATAGTGGGTTCAGGTAAAGCGCTCATGTCTGTCATGCTTGACACCCCTGGGGCTCTAGCATGTACTTCATGATAATAATAATAATAATGATAATAATGGTGGTTTCTTATATGCACACATATCCTTCACATTGTGACATTCCTGGCGCTGCCTCGATTATTACCCTATAAACTTTCCTACTATTTGATTTTCAAAATCATAAACAAATTAAAAATTTTGAGAGCAGATTTTCTTTGTCCAAAACTATAAAATGCAATACCAAACTTGTTTAAATGCTTTGGATTACTAAAGGAACAAACATTGGACCGCCTGGCCATAGTCATCTTCTATCACATGTCCGGTAGGTACGGAACATATACACTCAAACAATGTGGCAGTTGAGGGTCCAGTGTGCACTGAATGAAGCGTTAATATTACAAACGTTTCAATGGGATAACAGTGATTTTTAGTGGTAATTGGGTGACCTCGCCTCAGATTCTTAAAAAAATCCTGGATTTAGATCATGCTGCAATCATAATTATAAACCTTTAGGTCATACATGAATCCCATGACTTTTACAAGCCAATCGCTTGTCCGATTATCAAGATATCTACAATTGGAATTAATAATTTCAGAATTTGTTTTCCTAACGATTTTTATAACACTAGTCTATTGGGAAAATGAGTATGATAAAACCGGTCACTCAAAGATTTTTACTTATTTGAGACACTTCATGATCAGAATGAAGCACAATTTGTTTAGAGCTTCAATATTACACCATATCACAGACACTGATAACACGTAAGGCCATGCATCTCAGATTTAACATTGTTTAATGATGCCTTTAACAGAGGGCGGCTTCGTGAGATGCAGTCCTGCTGTCTTCCATGTAACCTACAACGGAGCACCACTATCATCATCATGATGTCCTGAATGCAACGACGATGGGGGGTATCTCACATACCATGGATGCCCGACTGATAAGTGATCATTGGGTCTCTCACTGCTGCTGATACAGATGCATCCCTCACCCAGTCTAGGGAACCAGACCCTTGTTTGAAAGCTATTTGTCAGGGTGTCACCTTTAGTCCCGAAGTTGTTGTGTAACCAGGTTATCTTACTAACCCTATTGCCCTTGTCAGATTCCATTGGAGATGACAGTTTCATTATATCTAATGACAGCTACCTGTTGTGTATTGTCTTGGTATAATAGCTCTATTTCTTCTTCCTCTCTCTTTCTTGCTCTCATCCCTACCCCTCTTCCTTTCCCTCTCTTTCCCTTTTACCCCTCTCACTCCCTTTCCTCCTTACCTCTCGACTCTTCCCCCCCCCCCACCCTCTCCTCCCCCATTCTTATTCTTCTGAGTTAATTTGTACCATATTGTATTCTAGAGAACACAATAACACAGATCTGTAGTAGTATGAGCTACACGTACAATCAACAATATACTGAAGTTCCTATTTTTCTCTTAAGCATTGATTGAGGTCAAGGAATAAAAAAAAAAATTAAAAAAAATCAAAAATCAAAAAAAAAAAAAAAAAAAAATCAGAAATATAATATAGCTTTGTCCTTTTCCTATGCTATACATTATACATTACATGATAAGACTTTTTAATGGTCTCCATGATAAATCTCTAACTTCCAGCTCATCTATAACATTTTTTATCACTTTGGTAAGATACAAGTATATTGATGTGTTATTCTACCCTCATTCCTAGCTGTGTATAAGTTACTTGGTGTTGTAGAGAATAAACAACGACCCCTATCTAATAAACAGTTTTGATTGATCCAGATTAATTGGAAGTACTTTAATTAATCATGATCTTACAAACTCCTATTTCTTTCAAACAGAGTTGCAAGTGATATAAAGTTGCAACCAATAGGAAGCAATTTCAAGTGTGAATAAGAATGGGCTCAGGAAATCCAGCAAAGAATAATCAATTTAGTAAAAAAAAGAAAGAAAAAAGACCCACTCCCCCTTCACCATCACAAATAAAGACATCTTTTCCCCTGATCATGTCAACTTGGGACTCAGAAACCTTGACAAAGTCTTGAGAGATAGACTGAAAGTGTCACTTAAGGTCTGTACAGAGACTACTATGTTTATAATGAGGGAGTATGGATGGCCCCTACACACTCTATATAAGGCAATTGGGAAGGTAGGCATTGGGAGAGAGAGGGAGAAAGAAAGACTGAAAGAGTGAAGGAGATCAATAATTTGATAAAGAGAGAGAGAATAGACAGAAGTTCAAACATATCAAAAGAAAATAGACAAAAGAATTAAAAGATAGCAAGATTGAGAACAAAGGTATAAAAAGAGATTCAAGGTGTAGACAAAAGTGCAGCGCAACAGAGAAAATAGTGGGATAGGAAAAGAGAATTAGAAAGAAAGCGAGAGAGAGAGAGAGAGGGAGAGAGAGAGAGAGAGAGGGGGCATAAAAGAGAGACAGAAAAGAGAAGAGAGAAAGAAGAGAAAGAAAGAGAGAGAGAGAGAGAGAGAGAGGAGGAATAAAAGAGAGACAGAAAAGAGAAGAGGAAAAAAGAAGAGGAAAAAAGAAGAGGAAAAAAGAAGAGAGAAGAGAAAGAAGAGAGAAGAGAAA